AAGAAGGCATTACTGCAGGTGTTAGGTGTTGGGTTCGATGCTGGGTTCGGTTTGTCAATTTTGAATGCTAGGTTTTTGCAGGTGTTGGGTTCATTTGCAGGTGCTGGGTTCGAAATCGAACCCAGCAGGCGTTGGGTTTGAGCAGCTGCTGAGTTCCTGCAAGTGAGGCTCTGGGTTTCGTTTCGAACCCAGCAGCCGTTGGGTCAAATATCTATTGAGTTTAATCTGTTGATTTGTTGTGTTATCCTTGAATTTAATATTAGAAATTAGGGTTTGCAGAAGGTTAAAGGAAAGGGAGAGGAAGAAGAAAGGGAAAAAAGAAAAACAAACGAAGAAAAAAAAAAGAATAAGAAATTTTTTAAGATTTTTTTCTTGCCATCTCATTTTTTTTCACATTGTATATCCTAGGTGTCAAAATGTTTTAACAGGTCATCGTTTTCCCCGTCAAGTAACAGGACACGTAGGTTGATATTTGACAGAATGACCAAATCGGGGTAAAAATGGTAAACAGTATGGACTAAATCAGGGATTTTTTTAGTTTAGGGACCAAATCAGAGGTCGTACAATAGTTCAGGGACCAAAAAGAGGTTTTAACCTATTTAAAAAGAAATTAATTTTAAAATATGTAAAAATTAAGTTTTATTTTCATTGTAAATAAAAAAATAATAAATATGAATTGTTTTGTCTATAAATTTATCTATTATATGTCTTAAGAACATAGAATAAGAAATAATAATTATAGTATTTTTTATTTAAAAATGTAAAATTTTGAATTAAAAAATAATTTTTATTTTTAATTTAAAATAAACAATAAAAAAATTAATACATAAAATTTACAATTAAAATAAAAATCAACTTTATAATTTTTAAGATTAAAAATAATAATTATTAATTAATAATTTTTTTTATTCTATGCCTAAAGACATAAAATAAATAAACCATTTGTCTATTATTAATTGTTTTTAATAATAAAATAAAAAATCTGTCTCTTACATAGGGTTTCGAAGGGCTTTATCCTTAGGAATTTTCTTTTCCTTCCCAGCTGTGACAATACTTTCATGGCCTATCTCCTCCTCTCTACTAGTAACGGCCTCCTATAGTGCCACCCTTATTGACCACGCCACCCAAGCCCTTGCACCGCATAACCACTTCTCTTCATCGACCACGCTACACTAAGTCGAATCCACCTCGCGCACCGCAAGTCATCAAGTTATCAATGATGTCCATTCAAAGAAAGCTAGTTATTGGCTCCTGAAAGCAGCGCGGAAGTTAGCCTCCATTTTTCGGGATCTGCCTCTTCTTCATGTAGCCAAAATAGTGAAAAGGAAAGATCATACTATGCGGATGACTAAGAAATGATTCGGAAAGGGATGGATTCTAACTATGCGTAAGAAAAAGAAGAGGAAGAGGAAATCAATTTCAAGTACATTCGAAGATAGAAGGGTTCCTAAGATGAGGCTGGACAACTTAGGAATTGCAAGGGTAATGCAGATGGATGTCTTTCGTCCATCTGCAAAATAAAAATTTATCTGAGTCTAGACAGAGCAGTATAGTATTAGGGGATGCTACACCACCATATCTTTTCATCCTTGATGTTACGATAAAATGGTAAAATAGATGTGATTATTAGTAGAAAATAAAAAGTTTTAGAGTAATCTTTATATTTTTTAATAGTTTTATTAATGTCTTTACGATGCATATTAGGACTTTTAGCATTTACTTATTTTATTTGTAAAAGGCAATAATTTTTTATAATAATATTATAGGTTATTTTTAATTTATTTATATTTTTTATATAATGTATATAATGAGATATAGTTTGTATTATAATTATTTTAATTATTAATATAATTACATTTTTTATTAAAAAATAATCTACACAAACAAAAATAATATTTTTTAACATAATTTTAGTGGGCATAACAAATAAATTACACAACCGCACCCCCAACATTTTCATGATTTTCACATTGACCGGAATTTTGTTGAAACCCAAAATTTTGGCCCAAAATTTTCAAAAGTCTGATCAAGCCCATTTATGGTAGCCCGCATCAGCTTCATTTTTGTTAACAAACACAAACTGGGCTGAACAATATTCATACATGATGGGCCCGATTCATTATGAGTGGGCTTTGCGTTAAGGAATCGGGCATGGTGGTGGTGAGCACTTTTGGATAAGGCATTAATCATATTTGATGTTTAACTTAAAAATCTTTAGATATAACATTTTAGATTTGGTATTTATCTAATGGTTAAATTCAATAAATAGTCTATTAACTATATAATTTATTTTAATTTAATTTAAAAATAATTTTTTCTTTTCTTTGGATCACCACTCTACACTGAATTAGATAATGGCTAAATTTAATAAATAGTCTATTAACTATATAATTTATTTTAATTTAATTTAAAAATAATTTTTTCTTTTAAAATGATTTATAAATTGTTAATTTTGTTTCAAAATGATCTACTTAACAAATACTTCATTAACTAGACTAACAGAATGTTTATTTAGACAAGTCAGTGTAGATAAGTTACCCCCTAAACTTTTGAAAATTATTAAATATAATACATATGTTTTTATCTTTTACAACATTTTGTTTTTAAA